TGAGCTGGTGTGGTAATATTTACTCAGCTCTTGTGCACATGCTGCTATTCAGTGCTTCCCAGATCCTAATGTATTTGGCTACATTAGCTATTGGACAGTAACAATTATGTGCAAATGACTGTGGCTGAATGCTTAACAAAGCCATTCACTGCAGAAGCCTCTTCCCTGCTCTCGTTGCTTTGGTTGGCAGTGTGGAGGCAGCTTGCAGAGACCAGTGCAGCAAATGACAACAAGACCTGATGTCTGGCACAAACGTTCTAAATTATGATCTCATTTTTCACATTTTCACCTTTTTGCAGCTCTGTAATTTTCTGCTTTCCTGTACGTTTGCCACAGAGCGCAGGAGGTCCTGCCTGCTAGCTTTATGAGCTGTTAGAAACCTAGAGGCCATCTTGTAAACGACCAATTAAATAAGAGGAGATCATGAGGGACTGCATACCTGCCCCGAAGGAACTATAAAAGCTAAGGAGAGGGGAGGGATATGGAGCTATACATCAGGCTTTGCTGAGGATAATTGCAACTGGGGGATTTCAGGAGGGATGCGAAAGTCCAGATCCCAGTTCTATGTTTTTAATATACAAGGTTTCCTTCAGAGGGAAGAATGTGATTGTCAGTGATGTGTAGAGAGGACAGTGTGCATAAATGAGATGACAGCAAAGATGTTTGCTTTGCCTTATATTTGTAACACGGGAATGGCAATGTTATATAATTTGGTGTCCAGCACAGGGCAAGGCAGTGATTGTTCTGCACATATTGCTTGGTATGCATGTAGAGACATGTGGCATACAGAACAGGCAGCACAGACAAAAGAAAAGCGGAGTAGATCTGCACATAAGGAGGGCCCAGAGACTGTAATTCATCGTCTTCCTCCTCTATGACACCCAGCTGTATGCAGTAACAGCAACCTTACTAAATCTAAGTGGAGTCGCAGGGTTGCCTTGTCCGCACAATCCATTCAGTCCATTGATCAAAGGGTGATGTGACGAGAGTGGAAGATGTGTGGGGGCTTGGTCACCCTCCTCATAAATACTGGGC